TCAGGTTGTGTAGATTCAAGTTTGTTAAAATGATGACCCCCGGGAATAGGGTCATGCCACAATGGGGGATCGAAAATTTTACATAGGAACATGTAGGAAAATATGTTCTTCTAAAGAACAAAAAATGATGTTTAATCATTTTGATATGGAAGCATCCTCAGGTAGTGTAGATTCAATTTTGTTCGAATGATGACCCCCCGGGATAGGGTGGGGCCACAATGGGGGATCGAAAGTTTTGCATAAGAAAATATAGAAAAAAAATTCTTCTCAAGAACAGAAAAGCTATGTGCAGTCATATTGATATGGAAGAATCCTCAGGTAGTGTAGATTTAAATTTGTTCAAGTGATGACCCCTGGGATTGGGAGGAGCCACAATGGTGGATCAAATTTTTACAGGAAAATTTTGAAAAAAAATCTTGTCAAGTACAACAAAGCCATTTGTTATATTGACATGGAAGCATCATCAGGTAGTTTAAAATTCAAGCCCCTCCCTCCCCCCCCCCCCCCCCCACCAGTAATCTTTTCAATACTGAACTGATTTGTGCTTTTGCCTAGCCAGTGTGCTCAGGTGAGCGATGTGGCCCATGGGCCTCTTGTTTAAATTCTTACTACCCCCCCCTTTTTTTTTTTTTGAAAAAAAGATGCTACATGCTTCATTCACAGCACAAAATATATTTGCTTGTTCTTGAGTTGTAACGTGTTCCAAGTGTCTGCTTTCACAAAATCCTGTCCAACAAATAACAGCAACAGCAGACTGGAACTAAAGCGACTGTGCTGTCAAACCACTACCCTATAGATGTTACAGTCCTTTTATTAAACCTAAGAACAATCTACCTTCATAAGGAATACGATTTCTAGTACTTGCTTACCTAGTATAATACAACTTTGGCGATCTTCTCTTTAAATAATTAAAAAAAAAAAAATCAGCGTACCACAGGCACTTAGGACCACCCCCATTTATTTTAATTCGGGGTCGTCTCTCTTTTTATGCCCCCGGATCGAAAGATCCCGGGGGTATATTGTTTTTGTCCTGTCTGTCTGTATGTCTGTTTATCTGTTTGTCTGTTTGTTTGTCTGTTTGTCCGTTTGTCTGTTTGTCTGTCTGTCTGTTGTCAGCTTTAACCTTGCCAATAACTTTTGATTGGTTGGAGCTATGACTTTCATGTTTCACATGTGTATTCCTTGTGACAAGACCTTTCTTTGGGTACCATCATATTTGACCTTTTGACCTTGACCTTGGAGTTTGACCCACTTTTGCAAAATTTTATGAGACTTTAACCTTGGCCATAACTTCTGAACAGTTGGAGCTTGGGGTTTCAAACTTCACATGTGTATTCTTTGTGACAAGGCCTTCTTTTGGATACCAACAACTTTGACCTTTTGACCTTGACCTTGGACTTTGACCTTCTTTTGAAAAACTTTAACCTTGGCCATAACTTTTGAACAGTTGGTGCTTAGGGTTTCAAACTTCACATGTGTATTCCTTGTGACAAGACCTTCCTCTGGATATCAACCATTTTGACCCTTTTGACCATGACCTAGGAGTTTGACCTACTTTTGAAAAACTTTAACCTTGGCCATAACTTTTGAATGGTTGGAGCTAGGGCTTTCATACTTCAATATGTAATCCTTGTGACAAGACCTTCCTTTGAATACCAACCACTTTGACCCTTTGACCTTGACCTAGGAGTTTGACCTACTTTTGAAAAACTTTAACCTTGGCCATAACTTTTGACTGGTTGGTGCTAGGGCTTTCATACTTCACATATGTAATCCTTGTGACAAGATGTTCCTTTGGATACCAACCACTTTGACCTTGACCTTGACGTTTGACTTTTATTTAAAAAACTTTAACCTTCACCATAACTTTTGAACAGTTGTATCTAGGTCTTTCAAATTTCACAGGTGTTTTCCTCGAGACAAGATCTTTCTTTGGGTATCAACATTTTTTATCTTTTGGCCTGGATTTTGACTTGCATTTGAGAAACTTTAACCTTCAACATAAGCTGCCATACGGGGGCATCAGTGTTTCACAAACACATCTTGTTTTTTCTAATACTAGTATATTGTATGCATCACGTTATCGAAAGTGTAACCCTTTTTCATCTATGAGTTATTTTAAAATATATGTATCTTGCTTTTGACTGATATACATGTATACTTTTACAAAAAATCTCAACGAGGGTGAAAACTCAGTAATATGTATTAGATTAATCATAACACATCAATGGGAAGAAAATGTGTTAACGCTAGATAACAAAAACAATTGCAAGTGGGTGGATTTCTATGAAAAGCATGTACTAGTTGTTAGCTCACCTGAGCCGAAGGCTCAAGTGAGCTTTTCTGATCACATTTTGTCTGTAGTCCGTCTGTCCGTCTGTCTGTCTGTCCGTCCGTCCGTCTGTAAACTTTTCACATTTTCGACTTCTTCTCAAGAACCACTGGGCCAATTTCAACCAAACTTGCCACAAAGTATCCTTGGGTGAAGGGGATTCAAGTTTGTTCAAATGAAGGGCCACGCCCTCTTTCAAGGGGAGATAATGAAGAATTAGTGAAAAATTAATAGCATCTTTTAAAAATCTTCTTCTCAAGAACCACAAAGCCAGGGAAGATGAAACTCATGTGGAAGCATCCTCAGGTAGTGTAGATTTAAGTTTGTTCAAATCATGACCCCCGGGGGTAGGGCGGGGCCACAATGGAGAATCAAAGTTTTACATAGAAATATATAGGAAAAATCTTTAAAAATCTTCTTCTTAATAACAGCAAAGCCATGATGAGTCATATTTATATGGAAGCATACTCAGGTAGTGTAGATTCAAGTTGTTAAAATCATGACCCCCGGGGGTAGGGCGGGGCCACAATGGAGGATCAAAGTTTTACATAGAAATATATAGGAAAAACCTTTAAAAATCTTCTTCTCAATAACAGCAAAGCCCTAATTGGTCATATTTATATTGCAACATCCTCAGGTAGTGTAGATTCAAATTTGTCCAAATCATGACCCCTGGGAGTAGGGCAGGGCCACAATGGAGGATCAAAGTTTTACATAGAAATATATAGGAAAAATCTTTAAATATCTTCTTCTCAGGAACAGCAAAGCCCTAATTGGTCATATTTATATGAAAGCATCCTCAGGTAGTGTAGATTCAAGTTTGTTCAAATCATGACCCCCCGGGGGTAGGGCGGGGCCACAATGGAGGATCAAAGTTTTACATAGAAATTTATAGGAAAAATCTTTAAAAATCTTGTTCTCAGGAACAGCAAAGCCCTGATTGATCATATTTATGTGGAAGTATCCTCAGGTAGTGTAGATTCAAGTTTGTTCAAATCATGACCCCCCGGGGGTAGGGCGGGGCCACAATGGAGGATCAAAGTTTTACATAGAAATTTATAGGAAAAATCTTTAAAAATCTTGTTCTCAGGAACAGCAAAGCCCTGATTGATCATATTTATGTGGAAGTATCCTCAGGTAGTGTAGATTCAAGTTTGTTCAAATCATGACCCCCGGGGTAGGGTGGGGCCACAATGGAGGATAAAAGTCTGAAATAGAAATATATAGGAAGATATGTTCTTATGAAGAACTGCAAAGCCATGATTAGTCATTTTGATATGGAAGCATCCTCAGGTAGTGTAGATTCAAGTTTGTTAAAATGATGACCCCAGGGGATAGGGATGGGCCATAATGGGGGATCGAAAATTTTACATAGGAACATATAGGAAAATATCTTCTTCTCAAGAACTGAAAATCATGTTTAGTCATTTTGATATGGAAGCATCCTCAGGTAGTGTAAATTCAATTTTGTTCAAATGATGACCCCCGAGGGTAGGGTGGGGCCCAATAAGGGGATCGAAAGTTTTACATAGGAACACATAGAAATAAATTTCTTCTCAAGAACAGAAAAGCTATGTTTAGTCATACTGATATGGAAGCATCCTCAGGTAGTGTAGATTCAAGTTTGTTCAAATGATGACCCCTAGGATAGGGAGGAGCCACAATGGGGGATCAAATTTTTACAGAGGAATATATTGGAATTTTTTAAAAACCTTCTCAAGTACAACAAAGCCATTTGTTAAAACAAATTATATATTGACATGGAAGCATCATCAGGTAGTTTAAAGTTCAAGCCCCCCCCCCCCCCCCCCCCCCCCGGAATCTTTTCAATACTGAACTGATTTGTGCTTTTGCCTTGCCAATGTGCTCAGGTGAGCGATGTGGCCCATGGGCCTCTTGTTTTAAAAAGCACATGCTTTTCTCTGCCTGACTTTTCCCGCGAAATGTCATTTTTCTTTTAACCAATCAAATATAACCGAAGGGTATTCCCATTTACATAATAGCATCAACTTCCGGGCTCCCTTTTCTAAGATTAATAGAAGCAGTAGACTGAGTTTGGAGCAATATTTGAATAAATAGAATGGATGTTACATGATTTCAGTGGAATAATCCGAAAGTTGAGACACATTTAAGTAATTAACGTTTATGGGTGTTTCCGTTGATTTTAAACATGTTGTAGACAAAAAAACCGTGGCGATGCAGTTGATCTGAAAAATTCAAGATGGCGACCGTGAATTACCTTGTTATTATTATAGTATGGGGATATTTTTATCAATAAAGAGAAAGATTTAAAACGTCAAGTGCCTGTGATGACTGGGTATAAGGCAATCTTTTAAATAGGTCTTTTATTAATAATTTAATATGTGTTATTCTATATAAACATCAAACAATTCATAGATGTGCTCTTTCTATCAAAGCATTCCATGTTACCATGTAACTTATCATCTTGTTTCCAGCATTTTTGTTTACTTGGCCCCCTAAGTGCCGCTGATGTTTTCATTTCAGTGAAATGGAGGCAGGCAAGAAAAGGGTGTGAGATTTCTTAAAGAATAAAGTTTGAATTTTAATAAAAATATTGATCATCCATTTTACAAAATTATTTTATTAATGAAGTGTTATAAGTATTTTGGTTTCTCAAAAAGAACCTTATAGTTTAGATTTATTTCAGACTTGATGTACCAGAGGAAAGTGTCAAGCCTGTCTATAGAATGGCCACTTTCCTGAAACTGAAGGATGCAGCAACTGCCTGTTGCAGTTTCCTGGCAGCCAGTCTGACAAGTGATAACTGCCTAGGTACATGGTCTCCCACCCCAGGGCAGACTTTTCACCCTCTCTACCTTCTTCCTTTCAAGTACCATCCATGGGTTCCATGCATTGACATGGCAATATGGGTGTTGTTACTTGGTAACCAGTGTTGGTCAGAGGAATATTTTTGTGAACAGAATATTGTTCTGTCTAGGAATCTAAACTGAGGGATTTCATGAGCTAAAAAGAAAGTTTTAGATATGGTAAGCACTGTCTTGAGGCAAAAATACTACACAGATTTTAAAGTGTGTAGGATTATAACACTTTTGAATTTCATTTCAAGTAGAAATCTGAGAGCAAAATAGGACTTCGACAATTTTATGTTGTCATTTTTTTATGGTAAGTTTGATTACTTTTAAAGTACTTTGATTTACCAAAAAAAAAAAAAAGATATATAAAATGTTAATTCAATCCATTATAAGATGATTGTGGAATCCCTCTCATAAATAACTGGGCATTTGAAGCGTAGCTTGTGTTTAAAAAAAAGTCCCAATATTAGAAAAAAAGAGAAATGCCAATGTTAACAACAATGATTAAAAGATTGAGTTTTTAAAGTTATAAATCAGATGCTCAGGGATACTTCTGATCACCTTGATTGTTGCCAGATCTTTTTTACAGATATCATTGTGTATCACATAACAAGGATATAAGTAAGCTTTGATCAGTACATGTTTGTCTGATTGTCATCAATTAAAATTCACTTGACATTGACAAGAATTTTTAGGTCTAAGAAGAATCACTATCTTGATCTAAAAAATAAGAAAAAGTAAAGTGTGTACAATTAGTAACTGACTAAATTTGTGAAAAATTGTTTCTTTTTGACTTACGAAAGAATCACACATGTTAAAGGGAAAAGTGGATCAAATTATGATGATATATTGTCATCAATTTTCAGGAATACGCAAGTTTGCAGAAGATGTAGAATTGCGAAAAACCATTGATGACTTCATACAGAGGAACATTATGGCTGTCACAAGCAACAAGAAGTTTTATGGTTTACCTCAGATACCAGTTGAAATAACAGGTATATGGATTGCAAAAACTGGTAAAATTCATTGTCCACAGGTCCATCATGGTTCAGGCCTCCAATTTATTCATGATATCTAGGAGGCAAGCTGTTTTCATGATTTCATGCACTTACAGTCCCTGAAACGTTCTACTTTCCCACTTGAACGGTGAGCGAACGCTGAACAAACAGTGAACGAACGCTGAATGAATGCAGAGCGAAGGTGAGTGAGCAATGTGTGAACGCTGAACGCAACTCAGTTGGTGAACAGTTGGTGAACGGTGAGCAAACACAGAGCGCGAACGGAGGGCAAACACGAGAGCAAAGTGAATGGTGAACGAATGGTGAACGCAAGATGAACGATTTATTCTGTGAGCCTCTGATCTTTCCCTTGCATTGAAACTATTCTATTGTAATCTAATGTCAGGTGCCAAAAAATGAAATAAATAAACTAATCAATGAATAAATAAATAAATGAAATCTGCAATGTTCCAAAATTGTCCTATGAAAGGCGATACATGCACATTAAGTAAAACTATTAATTAAAGTTTCCTACAATATTTTCTGCACATATGTGTGATGTTTAAATTCAACATTTTAATCACACAATTTTTATCGCTGTAAAACATTGTAATTGTTACCAAATGCTGTAGCATAAAAGAAAAAAAAATATACTAGTAAAATAAATATGTTTATTCCTATTTGATACATAAAACCATTACAAATAATGAAAATTTTAGAAGAGAAAACTACTGACTTATAGAATAAATTACAAGGGTTGTAACAACCATACATATTTCACGCCAAGGCGATTCCGTGTGAAATAATGAGAAAAAAAATCTAAAATATTTTACAAAGGTCTGTGGACGTATTGCATAAATACACTCGTGTTTTAAAATTTTAATGCAATAATATATTTATCATATGTGTCATTTTTATTTTTTATGATGATTTATTGAGCAGCATATCTATATGTATCTGTGGACATTTCTCCGTGATTATACTCAGACAAGATGATACAAAGAGGCATTCATATTATTTGTTATAGATTAAATTTTCAGAACCTGATATTGAAGTTATATGATGTCATAGTTTTTATTAAACAGAAAGAGAGAGAGAGAGAGATATTCCACTTTAGTCCCCCCCCCCAACCCCCAAAAATGTTTGTATCTGTATCAAACAAAATTTTTTCTAAATATATCAGGCAGTGAAAGTAACCATTTTTTTTTATCAACAAATCCATTTGTTTGACAGTGATTATCGGTTCTTATTTTCCTGCTTCAAGTTCACACGAAGTCCACTGCTTGTCCTGTCAATCAAAATCATTTGACACTGTGCAGTCAGGTGTGAAAATGTCGCCAAAACGAAGTATTTCCAAGAAGTTTCAACATTCTTTTTAATCATTTCTAGTTATGATTCCAACACTTCTAAATAAATAAATAAATAAAATACATTGGCCCATAGGAATAAACACTTGGAATGATTAAGCTGCATGGATTTGAAACATACTCCCTGCCAATTTAAAATACCACTGCCAGCATGTATATTTTGAAATACTATTGTTTAATGACTTTTTTAGATGCATGTTTGTTTTGAGACTGAAATTTTTATGCTTCAAAACGCATAAACTTCTTTTTCAATGTTTATTAAAATATACTGGAAATACTGAATAAGTAATGGATTTATGGGAAAAAAGGTGGGGGGTGGGGGCTCTTTATCATATCGGATCGCAAATGAAGTTACAGTGAAGGAAGGAATTTTTTTCTCTCTAACTATAGCCTTTATGTATATGTAAAGTAGAAAAAAAATATTTAGTGTATTATATTTTTAGGTCACCTGAGTCACTAAGGTGACCTATTGCTATCCGTTTTCATCCATCGTCGTGCAACGTGTGCCGTCCGTTAACTTTTGAACATTTTTAGCTTCTTCTCTGAAACCACTGAACTAATTTCAACCAAATTTGGCATATAGCATCTATGGATGAAGGGGAACAAAAGTTATGAATTTCATGGTCCCTGCCCCCCCCCCCCCCCCCTGGGGCCTGAGGGGTGGGGCTAAAACCTTCAAAATTAATGCAATCTTTAAAAATCTTCTTCTTTACTCCTGGACATGAAGCAGTCAGACTGTTGGTATAATTGTAATAAGCATTGAGCCCTCTACCAAAATTGTGAAATTCATGGCCCCAGGATCAGGGGTTCTGGTGCTAGGGTGGGGCTATATAGATCATATAGTGAAAGTGCATTATTTCTTTGAAAATCTTCTTCTCTGCTCCTGGGTATTCAATAAACTAAATAGGTACATAGTTATGATGAGCAAGAGTGCCTCTTCCAAAATTGTGAATTTCATGGCCCCAGGGTCAGGGGTTCTGGTGTTAGGGCGGGGCTCTATTGATTATATAGTGAAAATGCATTAATTCTTTTGAAAATCTTCTTCTCTGCTCCTGGGTATTAAATAAACTAACTAGGTACATAGTTATGATGAGCAAGAGAGCCTCTTCAAAAATTGTGAAATTCATGTCCCCAGGTCAGAGGTTCTGATGCTAGGGTGGGGCTATATAAATCATGTAGTGAAAGTGCATTATTTCTATGAAAATCTTCTTCTCTACCCCTGGGTATAAAATAAATTAACTAAGTACATAGTTATGGAGAGCAAGAGTGCCTCTTCCAAAATTGTGAATTTCATGGCCCCAGGGTCAGGAGTTCTGGTGCTAGGGTGGGGCTATATAGATCATATAGTGAAAGTGCATTATTTCTTTGAAAATCTTCTTCTCTGCTTCTGGGTATTAAATAAACTAACTTAGTGCATACCGTATATACTCGCCTATAAGTCGGTTTTTTGGGAGTTAACTTTTGGTCCAAAACTCTATGTCCGACTTATAGGGGAGTCATCAAAGGCTTGGTACTTTTCTGGACGGCAAAATGTAGTATTTTTTACATAACTTCGACGATTATTGTTAAGAAATGTCTGAACGTATTATATTATTTATGTATTCTAAGATTATGTATAAAGTACAAGTATTTACATGTTTTAATGATTTTATTTTGATCTTAAGTGTATATTATTTATTTAATTAATTATTAACAAAAATATTCCTTTAATTGACTTGTGACTTACTGTAAATCTATATCGTTTATTGGTAAAATTGAATTGCGAACCCGATATAATACGTTCAGCATTAACTGATTAATGTATAATTATATGTACCGTCTGCAATGTTTTTGAAAACAGATATAATATTCTTAAAATATAATTGAGAATATTATTCTGGAGTCTATTAAAACTCGATTGTTTATGAAAATGCTTCCCATGTGTGGTACACAATTTTCTGCGCGTGCCACTAAATAAACACTGTGTCAGGTAAGGGATAACGTTACAGTTAATTAAGAGACAATAATTGCCAATAACAGATCAAACATAGCGTTATTAAAAACGATAGATATGGTTTGGACATTGAGTACCTCCTAATTAAATATCATCAAAATGTTGCTAGACTCGTTACATAGTTCATCACCATTCCAAAGACACCGAGATCCGCCTATGATCGAGATCGGTGTATAAAATATACAAGACAAAAGGGATTTACAGTATAAAAAGAAAACTCAAATGGTAGTGGGTTGGTTTGTTGAAAAATGAAAATATCAATTACCGATGCCATATCCTAACATATTATTTGAACACAGGTAAATACATTAGAGTATTGATATAAGATTTATAAGAGAAGAAAAAAAGAAATAAAATATCGGCGTAATTTCTCAAAATATTCTTTGAAACATGTTAAAACATTAGAGCATTGATTTGAAATTGTCCACCGATTCTGGCAAAAAGTTTTACCGACTTATAGGCGGGTCAATGGCAAATCTCTCCAAAATAACCTCAAAAATCACAACTGACTTATAGGCGGACCGACTTATAGGCGAGTATATACGGTAGTTATGATGAGCAAGAGTGCCTCTTCCAAAATTGTGAATTTCAATGGCTCCAGGGTCAGGGGTTCTGGTGTTAGGATGGGGCTCTATTAATTATATAGTGAAAATGCATTATTTCTTTGAAAATCTTCTTCTCTACTCCTGGGAATTCAATAAACTAACTAGGTACATAGTTATGATGAGCAAGAGTGCCTCTTCCAAAATTGTGAATTTCATGTCCCCAGGGTCAGGGGTTCAGGTGTTAGGGCGGGGCTTTATTGATTATAAAGTGAAAATGCATTATTTCTTTGAAAATCTTCTTCTCTGCTCCTGGGTATTAAACAAATTAACTAAGAACATAGTTATGAAGAGCAAGAGTGCCTTATCCAAAATTGTGAATTTCATGGCCCCAGGGTCAGGAGTTCTGGTGTTAGGGCGGGGCTCTATTGATCATATAGTGAAAATGCATTATTTCTTTGAAAATCTTCTTCTCTGCTCCTAGGTATTAAATAAATTAACTAAGTACATAGTTATGATGAGCAAGAGTGCCTTTTCCAAAATTGTGAATTTCATGGCCCCAGGGACAGGGGTTCTGGTGTTAGGGCGGGGCTATATAAATCAGATAGTGAAAATGCATTATTTCTTTAAAAATCTTCTTCTCTACTCCTGGGTATTATTTAAATAAACTAACTACATAGTTATGATAAGCAATGATGCCTCTTCCAAAATTGTGAATTTCATGGCCCCTGGTTCAGGTGTTCTGGTGTTAGGTCGGGGCTCTATTTATTATAAAGTGAAAATGCATTATTTCTTTGAAAATCATCTTCTCTTCTCCTGGGTATTATTTAAACAAACTAAGTACATTGTTATGATAAGCAAGGATGCCTTTTCCAAAATTGTGAAATTCATGGCCCCAGGGACTGCGGTTCTGGTGCTATGGTGGGGCTATATAGATCCTATAGTGAAGGTGATTTATTTCTTTGAAAATCTTCTTCTCTGCCCCGGGGTATTATTTAAACAAACTATGTACATTGTTATGATATGCAAGGATGTTTCTTCCAAAATTGTGAATTTCATGGCCCCAGGGTCAGGGGTTCTGGTGTTAGGGCGGGGCTCTATTGATCATATAGTGAAAATGCATTATTTCTTTGAAAATCTTCTTCTCTGCTCCTAGGTATTAAATAAATTAACTAAGTACATAGTTATGATGAGCAAGAGTGCCTTTTCCGAAATTGTGAATTTCATGGCCCCAGGGACAGGGGTTCTGGTGTTAGGGCGGGGCTATATAAATCAGATAGTGAAAATGCATTATTTCTTTAAAAATCTTCTTCTCTACTCCTGGGTATTATTTAAATAAACTAACTACATAGTTATGATAAGCAATGATGCCTCTTCCAAAATTGTGAATTTCATGGCCCCTGGTTCAGGTGTTCTGGTGTTAGGTCGGGGCTCTATTTATTATAAAGTGAAAATGCATTATTTCTTTGAAAATCATCTTCTCTTCTCCTGGGTATTATTTAAACAAACTAAGTACATTGTTATGATAAGCAAGGATGCCTTTTCCAAAATTGTGAAATTCATGGCCCCAGGGACTGCGGTTCTGGTGCTATGGTGGGGCTATATAGATCCTATAGTGAAGGTGATTTATTTCTTTGAAAATCTTCTTCTCTGCCCCGGGGTATTATTTAAACAAACTATGTACATTGTTATGATATGCAAGGATGTTTCTTCCAAAATTGTGAATTTCATGGCCCCAGGGTCAAGGGCTCTGGTGAAAAGGGGGGGGCTCTATTGATTATATAGTGAAAAAGCAAAATTTCTTTGAAAATATTCCTTTCTGATTCTGGTTAAAAAGCAAAGAAGCTATGTGTATAGTTATGATGAGCAAGAGTGCTTCTTCCAGAGTAGTGAATTGCATGAGCCCTGGGTCAGATGTGCTGGCGTAAGGGTGGGGCTCTTGATAATATAGTGAAAATGCATTAATTCTATTTAATAATCCTGTCTGCTCCTTAGTGTTAAGCAGATAAACAAAGTGATTACTTATAATGAGCAAACTTCTGGTCCCAGGGTCAGAGGCTCTGGTGTTTCTCAGTGGGGAGGGGGGCTCTATTGATAATATATTATTTACATTTGCAAATATTTTTCTTAGATGAACCTATTGAAGAGAAAATATGTTCAATTCTGTATGAACTTATTAGGGGGTCAGAGGTCATGGCGTGACCGAATCACACAGCAAGACTATATCTTGTCTACATAATTATTTCTGTCACAGTGACACTGGTTTCGGAACTTCTAAGCAGTTAAAGTGATGAAAAAGATAAAATTATTGAAACATATATTTTTTTTCGTTCAATAAATGGATCATTAGATCTTTCTTCGGTGTGAAGAATGTTTCTAATTAGCCTAAAATGACGCTTACCTTTTTAACCCGAAATTCCTTTGAAGGTATGTAAACTGAAGACGATAGCACCGATTTTGACTTCATATATATAGAACTCATATACAGTAATAGTAAGATTATTCCCAGTAGCGATCATTGTATTTTCATTATGAACAGATATTTCCTGAACTGGACTGCTGAACATCAATGTAAGTATTCAAATGTTGGAGCGAGGCGAACTCTCAAGACCAAACAGCTTCTAGGTCATTGCGCGTCACAACACAGCAATACGGCGGGCCGTTCATGTAATAAATGCAGTTCTATTCAGAATATTTGTCTCGAATGTAAATAAAAGTAATAAACAACAATGTTAAAACGTTCACTAGGAAATGAACTTGGTTGGTATGTGATCAAATCTTCTGAGAAGTCCTTCGGGCTTCACAGGATTTGATCACGTGACCAACCAAGTTCATTTCCCAGAGAACTTTTTAACATTGTTGTTTATTTCTTAAGTGAATCTGTAGTAAAAATTCATTATTTCTTTAAAAATCTTCTCTGCACCTGGGCATATCAGAGGCAAAAAGAGTAAATGATTTAATAAGGAAGGGTATTTTTTACCTGATTTTTGAACATCTGGACCATTTGGTCAAGTGTTCTGGTCCTGGCCAGGGCTCTATTAATTTGTATTCTTCTGAGAGGAGTTATTCCCCTTTGCCATTTACTTTTGATAATTAATCACTGTAAATAATGTACTTGAAAGGTTAATAGAATAAGAGAATTATGCAAGAATTTTTATTGTATAATACAAAAAGTACTTTCATAGTTTTAATGATCAGTTAGACTTTTAAGTAATAAATAAATAAAAATGAGACAAAAATAACTTGTCTTATTAAAGGTTCATCAAAGACCAAGAGAGGCCAATGTAAGACTTTTTAACAAGGAATTAAAATAGTTTAAAACATTGCTGTGACGTCATGCCTTTGTTCTTGCAGTCTAAAAATTTAGCTGTAGCCATCCGATAATAAAAATTAGCATTCCAATAATATATTATTCGACGGCAGTGATAACAAAATCAGACAGTAGTTAAAAAACAACAACTAGAGTGAGATCAAGGTTTAATTTGTCCAGAAACCAGAAAAAAAAAGTTAGGGAGAAAAAATTCAGGGAAAGGGAACTCGAGGAAATTGTTAAAAATAGCAAACCCAAGAAGAAATTGGAGTTTTAACCTTCCTCAAAAGTAACACTTTCCATTCGGTTTTTTGCAAAACGTTTTCGATACAGCACTGTGAATAAGCCAATTTAAATCCATTTCTGATAAAGAACCAGTCTGCGAATTTCTTCATTTAACGAAGTTTGTTCGCCAATGACCACACTTTTAAAACCCAAGATTTTCATTATATCATCCAATCAAAATTTTAGATAAAAATCCGCATTTTTACCTTAAATGTATTTTGAAGATATCATCCAACACTGTATCTGTATCAATGTCAAACGACTTAATAAAAAAATATTCCGAATCATAAAAAAAATCCTTCTTCACCTGACCACTGTCCATAGTTCTTGCTAAGCCAAACGACTGCCATTGAATGAATGAAACAAAAGAGTTCACTCACTGATTTTACTATCTAAAGAAAAAAAACTTTCGCCTTTCTTTTGTCTATTTATTAGATGGTTTCAGGTAGAACACGATTGATGCCTGAACTCCTATTGTGTAATTATCGGACTCCTCAAGGTAACTTTTGGACATTTAAATAGCAATGTTTTAAGTAAGATATATGCCTCGTTCAATTCTAAATGTAAAATTATCAGACTGTTTTCAGCCCTATCGGGCCTCAAACAGTCTGATGATTTTACATATAGAACAGTATTCGGCATATATCCATTACATAGAAGCACTGATAGTTTGTTAATATACTGTATGGTGATTGTGATAAATGGGGAACAGATTAGAACCTAATTTAAGAACTGTTACTGAATGCTAGACTAATTATTTTGTTGATCCTGATCATCCTATTTTTCTTGCTTTCAGTTCATTTTATACTCTATGGATCCTCTAAATTGTTGAATTATACTCAGGTGACCGTTAAGGCCCTTGGGCCTCTTGTTAAATAAATATTTTTAAACTACTCTATCAATTTTATTCGCTCCAAAGATATTTGATTAACTGGATATCCGCAGTACTATTTATAATTCTCAAAACTAGTTCTAATATTTATTTTGATAGTAATTAAAGAAAGTGTTAAAAATAAATATTTTTGTAATTTTGCTGCAGTTGGTAAATTAATTGACGTGGATTATCATCTCTCCATTAACGATTTGTCGTCTTTAACATAACAACAAAATTTTGCAGTGCTTGAAGTATCTGTATATTGCCCATATTTAAATTCATTTTTCAGCATTGTTCTACATAGGTACATACTTAGAACGACATTTATTTTCCAGAGAAAATTAAGAAATAACTTAAAAGCTAAGTTATAATAATAAACAAAAATATTTGTAGTTAATTTTTCCCCATGAAATAATGATTCTTAAAACACGATCGCAGTATGTTAATTATTAAATTTCAAAACCTGTAAATCCTTACTTACAAAAAGATAAGTCCTTTCACTTCGGAGTTCTGAATGGCAGTGAAGACTGAACGATGAGTGAATGCTGAACGGAAGGTGAACGCAAAGTGAACGAACAGAGAGCTGAACGCTTTGTGAATGGTGAACGCGAGCGCACGGTGAACACTGAATGCAAAACTGTGAATGGAGAAAACAGATGGTGAATGCACATTGAACTAACAGTGAGTGAACGGAAAAATGGGAAAGTAAAACGTTTCAGGGACTGTAGCTTCCTCATATAAAATTCAAGCCATGTCCTCTGGGCTCAGTTCTTCTGGACAAATGTTAGGGATAAGTTGGTCATATATTGAAAATATATGGCATTAAGCTCAGTTTCACAGAAACTATTCTCGATATTTTAATCAAAGCTATTATGCTAATACATATTGATGAGAGCTATTCGACTGCATCAAAATTTTTGACCTTGGCTTTTCCTATGACCTTGACTTCAGATTTTTGTTAAGCTAAATTTCAAAGAAACTATTCAAGATAATTTTATCACTTTATTTGCTTATACATATTGATGAGAGCTATTCAGTTGCATCAACATTTTTGACCTTGACATTTCCTTTTACCTTGACCTAACTTTTCTCAACTTTAGCTAAGATAAATCTAAATATTTTTATTTAACTTCATATGTTGATGAATATTTGGGAGAGCAATTCAACTTCATCAACATTTTTTACTTTGGCATTTCCTTTGACATTGCCCCACTTTTCTCAATTTTTGTGTTTAGCACAGTTTCAAAGAAACTATTCTTGATTTTTTTTGTAAGGTTATGCACTGATACTTTATTCGGTGAGAATTTATCAACACATATACAAATTAGGTATTCATGTCCTGTGGACATACTTTTAGTTTCCTTTATGTCTGGCAGGCAAATTTTTATCAGTAGTAGTATCAGTAGTTTACCCCCAAAAAATTAATAAAGTAAAATTCATGTCGTTGGAAGTCCCATTTATACAGTTTATTTATATACTTGTATAAAATTACATTTTGACATTTTTCTGAAAGTCATGTTCCAGAAACTCCTTAAGAGTGGTGAATTTTAAATTATAGAGTTGTGGTGTACATGTAGCTGTATTTATTGAGTGTATTATACTCTATGTGTATATTGCAGGAGCTGACCAGGATTTATTAGAATCTAGTAATGACAAGCATATGTTTGAGTTAGTTCTGGCCTGGGCAAGAGAAAATATTGATCCAAGGAAACCAAGAATTGAAGATCTGACAGAACAAGTAAGATAAACAAATTTGGAATTGCCTCTCTGTCTGTAGTTGAAACATGGCTCTAATGATCAAGAACATATTGCCATTTCTGTTTATAATTTTTGGGGGGTGACAAATATTTTTGAAAGCTGTTAGTTGTATGAGTACTACTAACATATACTGTAAACCAACTATTTTTCGCGTCAACTTTTATTCGCGATTCGTCAGTTTGAAATCAATCCGCGACGATTAATTTTCGTGACAGAGGAAACATTCTCTACGAATACAAAGCAAAATAAATGGTTCGCGACGATTAATATTCGCGAGTTAAAGCAGATAGCGAAACTCGCGAATATTTCTCACATGCGAATAAAAGTTGGTTTACAGTAATGAGTATGGCATTTTAAAATTTTATCAAACCCTCATTATTTTCAGGTGAATGTTCTGAATTTAAATACTGACAACAGTTTAACAGATTTCAAGGATGTCAGTGATGAGGTAGTGAAAGATCAAGATGGTATTGTACAGGATTACAAAAAGAACAAGAAGAAGGTAGGAACAACCAACGAAAGCATAATACTTCTAAAATCATTAGGGACCTACAAAGATTTATGGGTGCCTTATAGTAGTCTGTCCGTTCCTCTGTTCTCCAAGAAGATGGGAGAGTAGCCCAGCCCACATGACCACAGATAAAAAAAATCAGGAAATATATATTTCTCAGAAATTCAAGTTGCTCTTGAGTTTATTTAATGTTCATTGCCATATGCCTGCAAAATAGACAATACCTGAATGCTGTGACTGCCAAACTGATTACAATTCCCACACCAAAATGACAACATGGTCAGTTAACTGTGTAAATATAATGCTATAACCACAATTTTTGAATAGAGTGGGTCATGGCACTGTTTTTAGCTCACCTGAGCCGAAGGCTCAAGTGAACTTTTCTGATCACATTTTGTCTGTAGTCCGTCTGTCCGTCTGTCTGTCCGTCCGTCCGTCTGTAAACTTTTCACATTTTCGACTTCTTCTCAAGAACCACTGGGCCAATGTCAACCAAACTTGCCACAAAGTATCCTGTGAAGGAGGTTCAAGTTTATTCAAATGAAGGGCCACGCCCTCTTTCAAGGGGAGATGATGAAGAATTAGTGAAAAATTAGTAGCATCTTTTAAAAATCTTCTTCTCAAGAACCACAAAGCCAGGGAAGATGAAACTCATGTGGATGCATCCTCAGGTAGTGTAGATTCAAGTTTGTTCAAATCATGACCCCCGGGGGTAGGGCGGGGCCACAATGGAGGATCAAAGTTTTACATAGAAATATATAGGAAAAACCTTTAAAAATCTTCTTCTCAAGAACAGCAAAGCCATAATGAGTCATATTTATATGGAAGCATCCTCAGGTAGTGTAGGTTCAAGTTTGTTCAAATCATGACCCCCGGGGGTAGGGCGGGGCCACAATGGAGGATCAAAGTTTTACATAGAAATATATAGGAAAAATCTTTAAATATCTTCTTCTCAAGAACAGCAAAGCCCTGATTGATCATATTTATGTGGAAGTATCCTCAGGTAGTGTAGGTTCAAATTTGTTCAAATCATGACCCCCGGGGGTAGGGTGGGGCCACAATGGAGGATAAAAGTCTGAAATAGAAATATATAGGAAGATATGTTCTGATGAAGAACTGCAAAGCCATGATTAGTCATTTTGATATGGAAGCATCCTCAGGTAGTGTAGATTCAAGTTTGTTAAAATGATGACCCCTGGGGACAGGGATGGGCCATAATGGGGGATCGAAAATTTTACATAGGAACATATAGGAAAATATCTTCTTCTCAAGAACTGAAAATCATGTTTAGTCATTTTGATATGGAAGCATCCTCAGGTAGTGTAAATTCAATTTTGTTCAAATGATGACCCCCAAGGGTAGGGTGGGGCCAAATAAACAGATTGAAAGTTTTACATAGGAACGTATAGAAAAAAATTTCTTCTCAAGAACAGAAAAGCTATGTTTAGTCATATTGATATGGAAGCATCCTCAGGTAGTGTAGATTCAAGTTTGTTCAAATGATGACCCCTGGCATAGGGAGGAGCCACAATGGGGGATCAAATTTTTACAGAGGAATATATGGGAATTTTTTTTAAAAATCTTCTCAAGTACAACAAAGCCATTTGTTAAAACAAATTATATATTGACATGGAAGCATCATCAGGTAGTTTAAAATTCAAGCCCCCCCCCCCCCCCCCCCCCCCCAATCTTTTCAATACTGAACTGATTTGTGCTTTTGCCTTGCCAATGTGCTCAGGTGAGCGATGTGACCCATGGGCCTCTTGTTATGCCCCCCATGAAAATGGCCGGGGCATTTAGAGTTTGTCATGTCCACCTTCATTCTTCCATCTTTTCATCCTTCCGTCCTTCTGTCCTTCCGTCGCACTTTGCCTGTAGCTCATTTCAAGAAACTAAGATATTTTTATCAAACTTCATAAGCTGATACATATTGATGAGAGCTATTCAACGACATCAACTATTTTTTACCTTGACCTTTCCTTTGACCTTGACCTCACTTTCCTTAGATTAGTGTTTAGCTCAGTTTTGAATAAACCATTCAAGATACTGTAATCAAACTTTATTTACTGATAAAACTTGAAGTAAAATATTCAACTGCATCAACATTTTTTATCTTTCCTTTGACCTTGACCTCACTTCCTTAAATTAGTTTCAAACTTCATATTCTTATACATGCTGAAATAACATATGTAAGCTATTCAATTGCAGCAACATTTTTTGACCTTTACCTTTCCTTTGACCTTGACCTCATTTTTCTTAAATTAATGTTTTGCTCAGTTTTAAAGAACCATTCAAGATATTTTTATCAAACTTGTTTGTTTGTTTGTTTGTATGTTGTTTAACGTCCCTCTCGAGAATTTTTCACTCATTTGGAGACGCCAATCATTTGCTGGTGGAGAGCTGCAAATTTTGTTCTATACTCGGCACTTACGGCCATTGAGCAGTGAGGGATCTTTTTCGTGCCAGCACCTACTGCGACACGGGACCTCGGTTTATATGGTCTCATCCGAAGGACCGGTCTCCACGTCCCACAGTGGGATTCGAACCCGCGATGTTAGGATCAACTCCTTACTCCGTGACTCTAGAGCAGACGCTCTAACCACTCCGCGACTCTAGAGCAGACGCTTTAACCACTGCGCCATGCGGGCTTATCAAACTTGAAATGCTGATATGTATTTGTGAGATCTATTCAACTGCATTTGACCTTGACCTTTCCTTTGACCTTGGCATGACACTTCTTAAATTTGCATTTTGCTTAGTTATAAAGAAACCATTTAATTAGGATATTTTTATGAAAGCTTATGCACTTATACATAATTAGGTGAGAATTTATCATCTACATCCAAGTTTTTAGATTTCAATTTTAAAGAATCTATTCAAGATATGGGTGAATTAAAAAAAAATGACCAAACGCATATTTATCAACCCACACTAAAAATACAGGCAATGAAAATAGATTTCTATGTCTCAGCACTTGTCTTTAGACAGTGTCTAATTACCTGCCAAATATCTTGTTGATATCTCAATTAACAAAAAAGTTATGCCTAAAAATGATGCTAAAATTGTCAGAAGTGCAACACCTTTTTGTGACATTTTGAAATTTCAATATTTTTTGGAGATCTGTGAAATAAATAATAATGCTTTATGTTGAAAATAAAGACTTTCCTGATAATATTCAAAGTATTGAGCTTTAAATGTGGACTGTAGTAACTCTTGTTTAATCAAGTTGTGGTCATGGCTGATTTTTAAAAAAAATGTCAACCATGTCAGGAGTGCAACAGAAAAAAATGTAGTGTTGCCAAAAAAACATCAATTGTAAAATTCTGAAAGAAAATTAAGACAAAAAAGAATTTTCGAAGTGTAAAACAATAACATATACATTTTAAAACTTTAAAATGTTATATAAATCACAAGCAGCATTATTGAGAGTCAAGTATATGTGCATACCCAATAATGTCAGGAGTCCAACATTTGATGTTTTGCTCCCAAGCGTGAAAAAACTATTATCATTATATGATTTTCTGATTTTTATTTTGGAAAATAAAGACGCAAAGAACATTTTTACCAAAACGATTTATCAATTACAGGATCTGTCTGTGCTTCAGATCTATATTTCTATGGTCGGGAGTGCAATACATTTTTTTAAAGATTCAATTTGTGTGACGAAAACACTTCTATTCATGCTTAGAAGTATTCATTAATTAATAATGATCTTTTTGTATAATTGAATACTAAATTATTGACAGTTTTATTTTTAAAATCCTTCCTTTTTCAATTTTACCAATTCAGATGTGTTTTTGTCTTTTTTGTGATTTTTTAATGAATGTTAAAAATAAACACACTAAAAAATTCCTCCTCAACTTCACTGAAACAACAGAACAAGTTCTTATGTAATTTTCACTTCACAATTCTACTTTAGAGGCCCCAATGCTTTTGGTCAGGAGTGCAACAAATATGTTAGAATTATAAATCATCCAATAAGAATAAAAAAACTAGAGCCGAGCTCATTGCAATGCAACGAATAGGTCTTCCGTCGGAGCTCCGGACAAAACATTGCGACCTTGAGTCAAGGTCATGCAACATTTTAAGGTTATAAACAATCCTGTAGGAGGCATCAACTTTCAATGTTTCAACAGTAGAAAGACAGTAAAAGAATGTAAAATTCCCCTGTCAGTGAACTTGAACTTGTCCAAATAACCTTGCGTCAAGCTATGACACATTCTGCAGCTGGTTAAGAGCAAACACCACCTGTATGTCACCTACAGAAAAAATTCACAGTCGCATATTCTTTCAGACTATTCATCCAAAACATCATATTCTAAGTGACCTCGAATTTAAGTCAATGCATGCAATTTTTTCTATTAGAAAATTATAGACTTTTTTGTTTGTTTGTTTGTATGTTGTTTAACGTCCCTCTCGAGAATTTTTCAATCATATGGAGATGCCACCATTTGCCGATGGAGATCTGCAAATTTTGACCTATACTCGGCACTCATGGCCATTGAACAGTGAGGGATCTTTTTCGTGCCAGCACCTACTGCCAGACGGGACCTCAGTTTATACGGTCTCATCTGAAGGATCGGTCTCTGCGTCCCACAGTGGGATTCGAACCTGCGACGTAAGGATTAACTCCTTAATCCACGACTCTAGAGCAGACACTCTTACCACTGCGCCAAGTGGGCGACTGTACATTTTTGAATTTTACACTTATTAAATCAGTGACCTTGAACTTGCCTAAATGACTATGTTAAGGTCAAAAACAACCTTTGAACAAATTATGAGCTTCCAGTGATACTCAAAGACAAAGATATTCCTTAAAAAGAATATTGCACTTTTCTGTCAGTGACCTTGAACTTGCCAGAAAGACCTTGGATCAAGGTCAAAACACCATCCTTGGATCATAAGCAATCTCTGTATCAAGTAAAAGCTTCCAGTGATTTTATATTACAAAGTTACAGCATGGGAAAACAAGAGGCCCATGGGCCACATTG